CTTGTTTGCTTGCTGCTTTCTTCACTCCTATGCAGTTCAGGGCCCAGCCTAGAGAATGGTGCCACTCCCAGTGGTCTGGGTCGGTTAACAATCAAGACAGTTCCCCACAGACATGCCCACGTGCCAAACTGATCTAGATTATTCCTCAATTGAGACTCTTATCAGATGATTCTAGGTCATGACCAGGTGTGAAGAACCTTTTCTTCAAAATGTAATTTTGAAGAATCTTTAACAATATAAGAATGAGATCTATATCCTTCTTTTTGTTTACAGAGGCCTTTGTCTTATAGAAATGGTCCTGGTACTTAATGTGGACATTAAGGAGGCACACAGTAAAAGGTCAATAATGATACATTTTCCCTCTAAGCACAGGGTTCCTTTATAGTTCTGAAGCTACACCTCTAGGCTCACTTTGGCACTAATAAATATTGTGACGGTCTGTGCTATCTGGCTGCGTGAAGTGCGCCTAGTAGCTGGACTTACAAAGGAGTTTGCCATTTATCCATCCACAAACAAATGGACAATGATAGATTTCTATATCCATAAGAAACCCAAAACTGGTCAGAAGAGAAAAACTGGCAATACAAGAATTTGTAAGTTTATACAGTATCAGTCTATGGGGATCTAATCATTTTTTGCTTCTCACTATAATTCTTCTATGCTAATCCACTTGAAATGCCAGACTGTGCACACCTCCTGTTATCTAGTAGTTAGCAACTCCCAGAAGAAAGGTTATATGTAAGGGAAAGGCATATTAAGCTTGTCTATAAGGTGGATCAGAAGTTTGGGCAGGTAGCTAGCTCTCTCCCTCCAGGGAAATATCTGGAGAGGTGCTTAATTGAGCAATGAGCCATCAGATATCTACTGGAGAATAGGGGTACTTATCTTGAAAATGCATCTGGGTGGTGATTTACCTCATCTATCATATGTCATAGTCATAGGACTTGAAGTTATGTGGAAAGTCATTACAAGCCTTGAAAAAAGTCATGCAATTTTTAAAAATATCATTTTAGGTCATCAAACCTAAAATAATATTTTAATAGATGTAAAAATAATTAAAAATATAAAAGTCAACATTTAATACATCTATGGTTATGAATCTTGGGTAAGAACAGTTCACTTTCAGTGGCTGGTAACTTTTAGACAGGTCTCTATTAAAGCTGGGTTTTTGTTTACACTTTAGGAGTACTGCAGCAACAAAAAGCTCTTCTCTGAAACCTTTCCTATGACCCTGAGTATGAATTCCATACTGTCATACTGGACTTAAGCTATGGAAACATAAAAACATCACAACTGCACTAGTGTAACATTCTAGATTTGGAAAGACTGATTCTGCGCTGTGTGGAGCTATGCTTACATTTGAATTCAGCCCTAAAGCATTCAAATCAAAACTAAAGGCATAAACGTGAAGTAAAACTGTGAATCTTTATTTCTAACATTGGTCTAACTTTCTATATTGGATCAACATATTTAGGTGATACTGAAAATTGTAGACTTACTTAAATTCAATATAAAAATTTAAATTAATGAGGTTTACATCAAAACCAACATTTCACAACATTGCACTTTTAAGGCATTGTAAGGGTTAACATTTTAGGCAGTAAATGGTTTCTTGGAATCCATAATACAAGTAATTGATAATTCAGAGATGGGGTTTTTATTGCCATATGAGAATGACATTTAAACTTTTGGGCATTTTATATAAAGCAAAACATACAGACTTCGAAAGTTTTGCAAATCTTTAATCTTTAAAATTTTTTTATGAAAAATAGGTTGTTTGTATGCATAATAAAAAATTGCTACAGAAATACTACCTCAATCTAGTTCCATCTGAGAAAATTTGTTTCTGTTGTATTAATAATTCAATGAATTCTCTCTGAAAACTTAATTTACTGCACTAAAGTAAATTCAAGCTAGCTAAGAACTCCAGAGGTTTTTACTACAGATTATTTTTATAAAACTGCCATTGCTTCTAATGGAGAATTTTGTTTTAAAAGTAGCAGAATATATTTGCAAAACTTCCTTGACTGTGTCTTAAGAAAAGTAAGGAAACACTCATGAGATTACCTAGGTAGGATTCAAACTGTTGTGTTGGCCTGTGAATCTAAGACTGACAGTGTTGAAGATGGCTACTCAGTGTGGTGCGTAGCCTGACTCCATCCAGAATGGCTATAACCAATGCTGACATTATATAGTGGATAAATTACCACTGAAAAATAAACCAAAGAACCTCAATATTTTATCCTTAACCTTTGTAAACCATGTTTTGTGGATAACTTTTCAGTTTCTCCAAAAGGCTGATATACTTCAATTTTTGAAACACCAATGTTAGTTTTGAGTGGACAGAAATAACCTAACCAACTACCACTATGTTCATTACTAAGAGATATACCTTTCAACAAATTTATTGAAATGCAAAAAAGTATTATTTTAATATAATCAGTTATGATGATATACACCTATACTCCCAGATACTGAGGGGGCTGAGGCAAGAGAGACACTCGAGCTCAGGATTTGAAGGATAGCCAGGGAAACATAGTGAACCCCATCTCTAATAAAAATAATTTTATTCATATGAGAAAATGATCATTTTTATATTTGTTAAAATCATACATGAACTAGAATATTTAAAACTACAAAACTCTGGGGCTGTAGAGATGGCTCAGTGATTAAGAACACTGCTGTTCTTGCAGAGGACCTGGGTTCAGTGCCCAGGAGGCACATGGTGGCCAACAACTGCCCATAACTCCAGTTCCAGGGATCTAACACCCTCTTCTGCCCTCCGTAGGCATTGCACAACATGAGTGTTCTTAAATATATGCAGGTAAACACTCATACATATAAAATAAATCAGAAGGATTTAATCTGAAGATACATAACTCATATTCATAAAAGCAGTAGATAAAAATATCAATAGTTTTCCTACATTATGAATTATGGGTTATATTTTACAGAAAAATATTTCATCTTTGCAGTCATTTTCTTTGATCAACTTTTCTATCATGCGAATGTAGCATGGTTGAAAGCTCTGAAGAGATGGTTGAATGGTTAAGAGCACTTGCTGATCCTCCAGAGGATTCATGTTCAGCTCCCAGACCCCACATGGTGGCTCACAGCTGTCTGTTGCTTCAGATCCAAGGGATCTGATGCCCTTTTCTGGCCTCCACAGGCACAGCATGTATGTGGCTCTCTTACATATATGCAGGGAAGAGAGGCATACACATAAAATAAAAGTCAAATCTTTTTAGGAAATATTTTAAACAATAACTCCCTTTGGCAAACCTTTTGGAAAAAGGTGTTTCCTTCAGTAAACATTGCATTAGCAGTCTGTGCTTGTAGAGGGTTTTATATAACGTTCCATGAGCCAAGTGCATATTTTAACAGTTATTCTTCTTTGCTGCAGTCTCTATGCAGAGCCCAGTAGACAGTGTAAAGATGGATCAGGAGGCTTCTTTAAATGCTTTCTTCCTCTTCTTCCTACATACACTCCTCTGAACATGTTCTCATGCATCTCTATTTTCTTTTTTTCAATGCAGAATATTCTAGTTATGGTCTGCTGAACAATGGGGAAGATCTCCCTGCAGTCCAAGTCATATCTTCCCAAGTTCTCATTTTTACAGGAGCCAATCACCAAAGAACCAACCCCTGAGATTCTATCCTATTTCTGGTATCTAAATTCAATAGGCACCAAATATTTTGAGGGTAGCTTTTGAAAATTTGTTTTTATAATTTCCCTTTGGTTTTTGCTTCTCTAACATTGCTCCTGTGTAGACTTTGAAAAGTTATTTTTAGGTTTTCATCTTTCTTTAGTCATTCCCAATTATAATCCAGTCACACCAGACCAACACAACATTTCTAAAACACAACTTTTGTCAAGTAACTTTCCTGCTTATATACCTCATTCTTTCCCTTCACCATGTAAAGCCCAAAGTTTAACAAGACAATTTATAATTTGGTTTGCAGTATTTTGCTTTACTCTTTGCTCTCTGTCTCACTTGGGAAAAAACTAGGAGCAGCACTGTTTCATTCACTTCCACATTCTCTTCACATTCCATGAACACTCAAATGTCTGTTGTATTGAAGTTCCGTATGTGCCTGGGCACCCGAACACTATTCCTTTCCACACAGATCACACTCTTAATGGCAAGTCGGCTATTTACAGCAGTTAAAAGCTGGTGAGCAAGTTCCTTTGTAGAATAGGAGCTATATCACTCATTCCCGTTTTTCTAACATAACTTCCAACTAAAAGTAGACAGGGATGACATCTGTAGTAAGCCACTATATCCCTTTTCACAGATTAGGCCAATGAGAGGATCACAATATTATTTGGTCAATATGGGTTATTCAGAATCTACTACCATGTGGTCAGAGCACTACAGAGACACAGAGAAAGGCTTCCAAACCCATTTTTAGAGGGTGGAGGTAGTTGGTTACAGATGAAATGATTCATAATCAAGGGACAAATCATGTTTTGCCATGTTAAAAAATTTTCATTTTTTTTTTTAGTCTTTTTGAGTCAGGGTCTCCCTGTAGCCCTAGCTGGCCTGGATTTGCTATGGAGACCAGGCTGGCCTCAAACTCATGGAGATCCACCTGCCTCTGCCTCCCAAGTGCTGGGATTAAAAGTATGCACCACCAGAATTTGCATTTTATCATAACTATAAAAAGAAGTAAAATTTTAAAATAAGTTACATGGTCACTATAGGAATGAAGAGATCAATGGTACAAATTTGTTATAAAGATGAATAAATATGAAATTTAATACATAGCTCCAGGATTATGGTAAATAGTATTTCATACTAGAAATTTCCTGAGAGAATGGAGTTTAGGTGCTCTTATCTCACACACGCATGACAAAGGCGGCCATAAAAATGGCGATATGTGAAATCACAGGCCTATTTTTGATTAGCTATATTGTAACATATGTATATCAAAACAACATGCCATATGCTTCAAATGCATGTAATAGAAACAAAACTGGGTTTTAGCCATGCTTACAGAGAGAAAAGAATTTCTCAAAGGATAAAAGAACAAGAGCTGCAGGAGCTGTCTGACAGACTGCCAAGAGAACGGCCAACTCAATGCACTAAAAGGTACGCATAGCTGCTAGAACTAGATTACAGCAGGGTGTGGATTTGTGTATGTCCATATGTGCATACATGTGTGTGTGCATGTGTGTATAGATATGTGGGTCAGTGAAATTTTCCACTTATTATATCAGTGTTTCTGCTGACATAGTTATCAGAAAAATAAATAAATAAACATGGAAGAAGACACAAATCTTTTTTTAATTAAAAGTTATTTTCTATTTAATTCATTAAAGCTTCACATATGTATTTCTTTTTACATATTAGAGGGGTCATATGGATTGGTTCTTTAACCCATTTAAATATTGCTTCTGCTTCACTTCCAATATACTTTAGTTCTGAATCCTCATGGAGACCATATTTCTTCACCTCAGCACTACTGGCATAATCCTTGGTTAAGCAGGGAAGCCTTTGTAATTGCACCATATTTAGCAGCATCTTTGAACTCTGTCCACTAGGTACCAGTCATATATTCCAACCACTCCTGCCAGCGGTGACATCCAAACACCTTTCAAGATATTGCCAAATGTCAACTGATTGCTGTTGGGTGAGGGAGAGTAGATCTTCCCTAAGATCTCTAGATAGGCTGACTAGGCTGCAGTGGATAAACTTGCATCACCTAAGGACATCTGGGTACAAAATTCATGACCGCATAAGAATTAACATGTATGAAAATGCATGATGTCCTGTGAGGAGGGGATATATGGGGGCATGGATGGGGGAGGGGATCTAAATTTAATTAAGAACTATACTGTATGAAATATAAAAACAAAACTCAATAAAAATATTTTTTAAAAAGACATTGCCAAATGTACCGTGGAAGACAAAATTGTCTCTGGCCATGAGACAAGCTTTCATCCTCCCTCCCTGTTTCTTAATGTTTCACCAAATACAAGCTCACAAAGTCTGTGCTATCTTTAGACTACAGCTTGGATAATTTGCTTACTTCTCTGTCCAACTACATCTTATTGGTCACTTTTAATGTGTCATTGACACTGTGACACTGAAACTTATCCTTTATTTCTACACACACACACACACACACACACACACACACACACACATAGAGAGAGGGGGGAGGGAACATATATGTGTATAAATTCTTTATGTTCTGTCTATGGAAATTCCAGGATTTTTCAATCATAGCTGATGATTGGGAAAAACATTTGGACTCAATATAAAAAGTAAGATGATACAAAGTTGGGTGGGTAGAGAGGGGGTATATGCGAGAAGAGTTTCATGAGGGGGTGAATATGATCAAAATACATTGTATGAAATTCTCAAAAAACTAATAAAAATATCCTTGAACCAAAAACATAAGTGATCCTAGATAACTAGTGATCCCAGGTACCAAATGAATCCTCTAAGGGCCCACATTCAAATTGCCATATAAAAGTTCCAGAAAAAAAAATGAGCAATAAGGGACCTTAAAAGAATATCTTAGAGGGGCTGGAGAGATGATACAGTGGTTAAGAGCACTGGCTGATCTTGCAGAGGACCTGAGTTCGATTCCCAGCATCCACATGGCAGCTAACAACCACTGGTAACTCCAATTCCAGGGAATCCAATGTCCTTTTCTTACCTCAACTGCCATGGTACAACACAGGAGCACTTACATACATTCAGAAAACACACTCAAACAAAACATAAAAAATAATAAAGAAAATAAAATAAATAAAAATTTAAAAAGAGTAAATATGAAACCATAACTGACCAGGAAATGAAGATAGCATGAAAATGAAATGTCTTGTAGCATCATTAACGGGATCCTGGAACAGGAGCAAATACCAGTGGGAAACTAGTTACATCTGAATAGAGATCGGAGTTCACGTGATAACAGCTTTCAAGTTTTCTTTTTTCAGTTTATATTATTTATTGAATTTTTGTGACTTCACACAAAACATCCTAATCATCCTTATACCCCTCTTTCATCCTCACACCATACCACATATTTCATGCATTCTTTCATATGTGTAAAGGCCTATCGAGTCAAGTCTGTGTACCCAGATGTCTCTCAGTGAAAGCTCATCCACTAGAGTCTAATCATCTCATCTAGAATATCTCCCTTAAATATCAACTCTCCCTCACCCAGCAGTAATCAGTTACTGTCCTAGTTTGTTTCTCAATTGCTGCGAAAAAACACTCTGACCAGTACCAATTTGGAGAGGAAAGGGTTTATTTTATCTTACATCTCCTGGGTCACAGTTCATCAAGGAGCCCAAGGTAGGAACTCAGGGCAGGAACATGGAGGCAGGAGCTGGAGCACAGGCCATGGAGGAATGCTGCTTACTGGCTTACTCCCCTGGCCCCTGCTCAGCCTGCTTTCTTATGCAACATAGGTCCACCTCTCCAGGGGTGGCACCACCCACAATGGGCTGGGCTCTCCCACATCACTCAACAATCAAGAAGATGCCCCACAGATATGGCCACAGGCCAGTCCTATGGAGGCAATTCCCCAACTGAGGCTCCCTCAAGGCAGGTGTGTCGAGTTGACACTAAAGCTATCCAGCATAGCTACCAATAATTCTTCAGCTAAGATTGGGACCTACTGCCCATTTTCCCAGTTCTATGCTAGGTTTTTGTCTGATTGAGTTTGTGTGGGTCTTTTGTATGCTGTCACATATGAGCAAGTTCCCAGAGGTCTGGAAGACTGTTTCCTTGTGATCTTGCACTAACACTGACTCAAAGAATCTTTCTACACCCTTTTCCATAATGGTCCCTAAGCCATGGGTGAGTGAGGTTTAATACAGAAGTCCTATCCAGGGACACACTCTCTGCAGCCTCTTATTATTATAACTTTGGCCAGTTGTGGCCTTCTGTGTGTGTGCATCACAGAAGGCACATGAGGAAGCTTCACTGCTGAGAGTTGAGGGATGTATTAGTTCTTTTTACTCCCTCTTCAGCTATGCTCCATGAGTCTTAGGTGTAGAGGTTCCATTGTAGATGTGTCATTTTGGACTGGGCATCTCTCAGACACATATTCTCTGTGGGACCAGTTGTAGAATTCTGTAATAGTCTCCATCTGTCACAAAAAGAAACTTCTTCAATGAGTGGTGAACAGTATATTTGTCTGTAAATATAAGGGACCGTATTTAGCATACACTAACAAACAAATTACATTTTTCTAGGGATACAACAAAGATACAGATTTCTCTAGGACCTATGATTTCTCTAGCCATGTGTGGATAGGTTTACAGAGCCACACATGATTTCCCTCCCACTGAGAGGCTTCCAAGTCCAATTATATAGTTGTTGATTACTCCAAAGATAAAGGTGCCAATACTCCTATAATTTGTTACACCAGTCACTGTTGTAGCTATTAGGCTTTAAAGCTGAGGTTGGCCCATTGATTGATTTTCTCCCTTAGCCACTTGCATAGCATCCTCTGAAATTATGAGAGCTAGTCTTCAGGGAGAAGCCTTCTAGCTCAGTTCCAGCTCCGTTGCTCCAAGACCTGTGTACAAAGTATGTCCTGTCTTCAGCAACAGGGTCTTACTTTCAAAGTCTATGAGGCAATCAAGGGCTGTGACAATAGCCTGTGCTATTTGGGGAGTTTCTTAGACTACCCTGACCAACAACTGGAAGAGATGTTTCTCAATTCTGATAAATATACCTAGATAATGTACAATGCTACCATTAAGAAGACTGGCTTTTCCCAAACATGAACTCTATAGTACATTTTTCATTTTTTCTTAGTATGTAACTATAAAGCTATCTTAAAATAAGACATCTAGGTAAGTTGCCTGTTATTTGAACTAGGGAAAGGCCAGTATAAAAAGATAAAGAGTCAGGATTTTGGAAATGGGTTCATCAGGTCTTAGTAACTTGGTTAGGGAACAAAAAAGACCTTTTAGAGGAGATGAGACACACATCACAGTGTGGGTGATTAGCAGAAACTAAATATACATTGAGGTTCTTTGTCTCCTTGACCATTAAACCAGAGCCTATCACATATCAGACAAGCCATCTGGAAGAATGTGACGAGATTCTCCTGTACAGGGCATAGTGACAGAATAGGAACAGGAAGGCTATAGATAAAACACAGATTTGGAAAACTGATGACTGATTTCATACAATCCTTGGAAGGCTTCTGTAGCAACAGTGACACCAATCCTAGGACTTTAAGTAATGATGATGCCTTCAAGAAAACTGGACATGTTTGGAAAAGGAAAATTGACAAGAAATTTAAACAGATTCGCTGTATATAGTATACTTATAATACTATCAGGGCATCTAATGGAAATGTTCCCAGTGGCACAAAGCCAGTAGAGTCTGGAAACAGCATGCATTCAAGATAGGAGAAAAACCATAAAGAATATCTTATGAGTTGGCAAGAATGACATTATTAATAAAATGCAAGAATTCTGCTTAGGAGTGGCAGGACCAGAAGAGAACTCTCCTCCAAATGTTTACATTTTCTTCACATATTTACACTGTCTGTATTTGTTCCCCACTCATCCTATATTTCCTTCTTTGAAATTGAGTAACCTATTAATGGATCTTTTGTCCCTAGATATATTGCAACCTTTAACTATAGAATTCTTTAGTTTCCAAATACCATAGAAAGATTTTTATTCCCATAAGCATTTACACTTATATTTCACAATTGTCATGCTTTCTTCTCTTCCTACCAAGAATTTAGTCATTACCAGATGAAAGAGTCTGAAAGGTGAGACCTAGGCCTCCGCAGCTGAAAGACTGGTGTTCCTAATTGTTCTCTTTCCAACACAGGTGATTTTCACCACCACCAACTTGCCCCTTTAGGAAGAGGCAAGACAAGGGCAGTTTCCGGAGGTTTCTTTAAATTAAATATACAATAAGAAAGATTATTCCAGTAAGAAAACAATGGGTAGATAATTGTGCCCAAATTAATCAGCAACAGTGGCAGCAGCGATGAACAGTTACCAAGTAAGTCTATGATGGCGTCTGTCATAAGCCATAAGATTTACATCCAATATCAGCCCTCTTTATTTCCTGTGATAACTTTTGAATTAAGTACAGCTTTGCAGATCTTCTTCATAATTTCAAACCCCACAGAAACCTGAGAAATAAAAATTCTCATTTTATGTTGTAATTCAGTTAATAGCAAAATCTGTTGAGAAATGATTTAAGAATAGTTATATTCTTTAAGACAGTGCCCAACCTAAAAAGATACAACTTGCTAATTTTGTGCTATGTTCATACCAAAGCATACCTACACAGGCATTCTATTTATCACTTTTAGTACATAATTCAATAAATGATATGACATATACAGCTCTTTATTACAAAGTAGGCTTATTCCAAGTTTATTTCACCCAACTTAGACTAAAATACATGATCTGGGCATGCTGAATAGCAAGCTAGGTTCAGCTAGCCTGATCTGAAGGTTAGATACTGAGATTTTACTATGGGCTTATCAGTGTAACCACAGCATTGTAAGTTTATAAGCATCTGCATATTCTTGGTTTTGCTGAGGTATTGCTGGTGTGTTCGATTAGAAGAGTTACTGGTTTTTGGATTAGCTAGCTGCCCCTGAGTTTTGTAATGTGCCAAGCAACTTTTTAAAGATTCATCTATATATAAATTATATATTTAT